CATTTCCTCTGCACAGAGAGGTTCCACCGCCTGGTGCAGATGTAGCCTCCTGCAGGAAAGTCTGTTGGATGAAGGGCTCTATTCAATCCGTATCGCGGGAAGTTCAGCGTTACAGCGTGATTGAAATTTAAAGGCAATGTTCACGTGTTAGCGGAGACTGCGTTCACGGTAAACGATGCATAACACTCAATCGGTAATGAACTTTCTTTAACTCAGATTGAATAGAGCCTGAAGTTCTATTGGAATAAATTGGAAAGGATTGGAAGGAGGGAGTTTGTATTGATACAGACAGCATACTGAGTATCCTTGTCATTAAGGATGTGGCCAGCTTCGTAGAGCCAGACGACAAATCCATCCCATATTTGTGGTAGGCTATATCAATGTCTGTCTGGCAGAGAGGCAAAAATCCAACAATGATTCAAAATATTATGCTTTTGGCAGAGATAAAGACATTTGGTTAGATAATACAGGGGTAAATTCAAAGTCGATATAGTCTGTCTATAATATACTAAACAAAAATATAAACGCAACATGTAAAGTGCTGGTCCCATGTTTCATGAGCTGAAATAAAAGATCCCAGAAAGTTTCCATAAGCACAAAAAGCTCTGATGGAATGTCCACCAGAGCTGTTGCCAGCTCTACCATAAGCCGCCTCCAATGTCGTTTTAGAGAATATGGCAGTACGCCCAACCAGCCTCACAACCGCAGACCACGTGTAACCACGCCAGCCCAGGACCACTTTCTTCACCTGCGGGATCGTCTGAGACCAGCCACCCGGACAGCTGATGAAACTGAGGAGTATTTATGTCTGTAATAAAGCCCTTTTGTGGGGAAAAACTAATTCTGATTGGCTGGGATCTGGCTCCCCAGTGGGTGGGCCTATGCCCTCCCAGGCCCACCCATGGCTGCGCCCCTGCCCAGTTATGTGAAATCCATAGATTAGGGCCTAATTAATTTATTTCAATTGATTGATTTCCTTATATGAACTGTAACTCAGTAAAAAAAAAAAAAATGTTGCATGTTGCGTTTAGATTTTTGTTCAGTATACTGTTCATCTGCAGTTCCCAGGCAATGTGGTGAACTGTCTTGTAAGCAATGTCTTGGTAATGAACACAATCACTGCTCCATATAAAGTGCAATATATACTGATGCTGAAGGTAATCCCTTCAGCTAGCTTTTAATTGAAGATTTACATTTACATGTTAGTAATTTAGCAGACGTTCTTATCCAGAGGGATTTACAGGAGCAATTAGGGTTAAGTGCCTTGCTCAAGGGCACATTGACAGATTTTTCACCTAAATCCTTTATGTCTCTGACGGTCAGAGTCTGACCTGCAAGTCTTTGGGTAAACCAGCGACAGTAAAGGTGTTTGACTGTTCCTTTCTGTTTGTGTACAGACCCCCCAGACAGCCGTCTGCTCTTCAGAAGCTCGCTTCTCTGTGAGCTCCTATGTGTGACGCCTGACATCATTACTGATGGAATTTCACGTCTGTAATTTTCAAACATGGCAGTCAGGCTGCTAGTAAAAAGTACAGCCGCTAGTACTGGGTCATCTATCTAGGTGCTAAAAAAATGATTTTGCTGTGTCACCAAAAAACAACACTATTAAAAATGTACACTCTTAGAAAAAAAGGTGCTATCTAAAACCTAAAAGGGTTCTTTGGCTGTCCCCATAGGAGAACCCTTTGAAGAACCCTTTTTGGTTCCAGACAGAACCCTTTTTGGTCCCAGGTAGAACCCTTTTGGGTTCCATGTAAAACCCTTTCTGCAGAGGGTTCTACCTGGATCCAAAAAGGGTTCTGTCTGCAACCAAAAATTGTTTTCTATGGGGACAGCCAAAAAATATGTGTCAAATATGCTTTTTTATCATACTTAACTTCTTACATAATGCTTACCTTGTGAAGTCACACAACGGAAATCTTGTTCTCACAAAACCAAAGACTTGTGGAAGTGACAACTCCTGGAAGTCACCACAGTCATTTGCATCTACTTAAGACATGTCAGGGCACATTCATTGGTAGATCCGATTCAAGAGGAAGTTGTTGTGCCACTCCTTGTCCAGTAAGGTTATAGCCTTCAGATCTGCGCTGTAGTGTTCACAGGAAGGATAACATATTTATTGTCACCCACACTAATGGGCAGTGGGGAGGCGGAAGGGCAGGTTTAATTACTAATCACCTGTATCCTGTTTTCCCATCAAACCAACATCGTTAGTCCTTTGATGCCGACATCAGAGGGCCATAGACAGCAGTGCATCCACAGGTTGTGGGCAACAATCTCCCTTCCTCGCCTCACCAGTTATTATCTTTGTCGTTTAAATGAAAGAGATCCACGATGATGTCCCTATTCATGCAGTCGGTTATATTGCATCCACTTATATTCCTTACAGCCGGCTAAGTTCTTGGAAAATAACAGCCCACCAACATCCTCATTCAGATATGAATATACAGTATTAGAGTAAACTCTAACCCTAATATCTATTTTACACCTGCTTTGGGTGCAACCAAATTTAGTAATTAGAGACCGTGGGGCTCACTTAAAGAGATGTGTGTTCCAGGTTAACGTTCAAAACATTGGATGAAGACACCAAAGGTTTCATCAAGAAGAAAGGTTATAGGTTAGCAGGTGGACTCTGTTGATGGTTATCGTTAAGTTTCATAGATGTTTAATGATCTGTATTACAGTTGTCTGTGTGTGTGAACATAGATCCAAAATCAGGTTTGTGTCATGAATTACTCTTCATTATAAACTGGGTGGTTCGAGCCCTGAATGCTGATTGGCTGACAGCCATGGTATATCAGACCGTATACCACAGATATGACAAAACATTTATTTTTACTGCTCTAATTATGTTGGTAACAAGTTTATAATAGCAATAAGGCACCTCGGAGGTTTGTGGTATATGGCCAATATACCATGGCTAAGGGCTGTATCCAGGCACTCCACGGTGCGTCGTGCTCAAGAACAGACGTGATATATTGGCCAAATACCACACCTCCTCGTGTCTTATTGCTTAATTAACATTATGATTATCTTCTGATTGGTTTTGTCTTTAAATATATATATATATATATATTTTTTAAAGCCTACATTTAAATCCCATATAAATAAATGACACCCAATTCAGGGTTCTATTCAATCTTTAAAGCGGAAGCGTTACAGATTCCACGATAGAAATGGAAGGTTCATTTCTGATTGAGCTGACATGTGCAGCATTTACCGTGATTACAGTCTCCGCTAAAGCAGGAACAAATCCTTTCAATTTTAATCATTCTGTAAAGCTGAACTTCCGCGATGCGAATTGAATAGAGCTCTTAATGAAAAAACCGCACAGTACACAGTATATAGCAAAACAAGTCTTGACCTCAACATCCAGATCAGGAAAACACACAGGTTGGAACATGTGTGTTTAATAGCACATTTCACATTAATGTGTTTGTGTTTTTCTAACTATGTTTGTTTGCAAGCCTCCAGTTACTTAACTACTCACAACTTCAAAGATGAGGGGGCTTTGAGGTACTCTGTAAAACATTCACACTGCCCTGTTCAGTAGAGGTGAATTGCTGTTTTATTGTATTGCGCTGCAAAGAGGGGATCCATTATTTTACACCGAATGTTTGCGGATTAGTAATGAGTGAATACCAGGCAGCAACCTGTACTTAAAAGGGTACCCTTTCCCTTTAAGGGTGTAGATAAAATTGCGCTACCCTTGCTTTGGAGTTTAAAAGATGTCCACTCTTTTCCTCAAATAATTAACTCTATGTCTAGTGGGTCGCTTATGGTTTCCTCCTCGCCATTGCACTGAGATTCCATCCACAGATGTTTTGGGTCTACCCTGCTGCTGAAACAAAGCTGGGGGAAGCACATGCATGGGAAGAGGACAACTGAAAACGGTATATACCGTGCTTTGAAATGCCTTCCCCCACTGCTTTGTCTCGCCTGACAGCTTGAAGTAAAGACGAACTCTTCAGTTTCTCGTTAAGGCGGGGGAACGCAAAGGAAGTCGAATGCTGCGTCCTGAAAGAAAAAGTACTTTAAAGGGATGTTTTGTGCACTATGTATTGGAGATGCAGAAGTGTGTCCGTTTGATACATTGCTTCCCTTTTCAATTACATTCATTTGTTGTAGAATCAGATTCATTAAATTAATTTGTTCTTGTACCCACCGTACGCTTGTGATCTGGGACAAGCATGACGACACGCAGCATTCATACCTCCCTGCAAGTTCAGAGTCTAACATCAGAGTTCACTTCATTATCTGAGTAAACTGGGAGTTACCATCAAGCCTCCATATCGTCGCTGTCTGATGAATACTGATCTCCAAAATAAACAACTTTTCAGGAAAATTACTATTTTGTTCCCATTAAAGAACATGCAATTCTGAAACTTCAGAAGCTATTCAGAATTCATTTTGTTGCTCCTAGAGTCATGAAATGTTCAGAGTACATTGGGGGAAAAACAAGGTTTTTCATCCGACAATGAAGAAATGTTAGTAAGGCCCTATGGTTCTTCCGCTCAGGATGAACAGGTCAGAGGTACTGTGGTGAGCCTCAACCTCTCCTAGTCACTCTATAAAAGAGCCATATGAAAGGCAGCAGTAGCAGAGGGAATGGTCCTACACTGTGTGCATCAAATTAAATCAGCGGTAGATGTTTGAGGTTAGGATTGGTGCAATAAAGGGAAGTATCACAGTGATTCTCATAGCCTAATACGTTATTCCCATAATACATGGAGTTTTAGAACTGAAGCAATTTGCATCAATAGTTATAACTGTGTTGTATACCTTGTAGTACGTAATGTTTGGAATTGGTCAGACTAATGGAACAGCCAATATCAATCCTTTGACTGCATCAAGTAATTTCCCCTTTCCCTTGGTAGATCTCTAAAGCAGTAAATTATTACATCGAATAATGTGCAAATTATTTCGTAAGACGCTTAAATACCGTAACACTCTTTATTTCAAATAAAAATATAGACATTTATATCAGAATCTATATAAACTCGTATAAATCAGTGTTAATAAATGTACAATAAAACGTAAATAGAGCACCTTCTTCGAATAGTTGTGACTAAAAATAATTAAGTGCCATCATCTATATGTTATGTACAATACAGTAATTTACTGTAATAATCATAAATCTCAAGTTCCATACAGAAACAATCACAACTACTCTTGTCATTTTTGAAGAACAAAATCTGAAAACCACACAAAAACAGTCCCAATAGAAAACTCCTTCCTCTCCACTTCGCTTGTCAGAAATCACACCAGTCCTTTAGTTTAGAATTTCTGAAAGGCTAAGGAAATCCATGGATTGCTGCTGACAGTTTATTGATTCAATGTCTTTGGCAAGTGTGCAGACTTCGAGATGCCTTGCTGTTGTGCTCCCCTCTCTGTGTTCTGCAGGACAAACCGTCTCCACAGTCACATCGCTGGAATATCTCCAAACCATGTGTGCCTTTCCTTTGGTGCTTGGTGCAGACCTGACCTTCTTTCAACACTGGCTTGCAGATCTTGGACCAAAAATGCCGTGCACAGCAAAGTCCCTCTGTGCAATCTGAAGACCTCAGGCAGTTCTCACCTTCCAGACCTGAAAAATAAGATACATTAGTTTATTGTAGGCTTTGTTTATAACAAGACATATATCACTCTGAGTCCATTTTCAATAGTACATTTCATAACTGATTTGTTACATACCTTTAGGGGTTTGTGAAAGATCTTGTGTGGGCACCTTGGAGTGCAATTCCACTGTAGAGTTCTCCTCATGTGTATTGAATATTGGCATTCCGATGTGCTGAACGATCTCAGGATCGCTGGTCAAACACAGGCCTAGGAATATAACAAGAAGATCAAACATGAGAGGATGTGCTTGAAATTACACTAGCTCCTTCAACAAGTGTGTAGAATTACTCAAATTCAACTGACTACACTTCTCTTCAAAAGATCAAAGCAGTGAGGAATGGCATTAGACACATATTCTAAATGCCCTATAAAACAGATTAGATGGTGTAATTTAATATGAATGTGTTGGGACTTGTAGGCTATTCACCATTACTGCACTGGTTGCCAGGGCAGCACATAGCATCCCGGATACAGCGCTTCCTGCGCTTCTTGCATGGGAGACAGGCACCTCGGGACTCAAAGCAGAAACCATGGTCACCGCACTCCTCATCTGCCGAGCAACTCAAAGACTGAAAGAAGAAATTCAGATGATTAATTTTATGCATTCAACTTTTTTGTATATAGTTGCCAATTTAAATATTAGGCTAGGCATATTGCCGATGGTAAACTGTTCAATTTAACTATGAGGGAAACCATGGTCCATTTTAAAACCTCCAAATTCAACACAATGGATAACCTACTTTGATAAATATAAAATAGCCTACTTGTATGACTAATGGGATACTGGGTTTACCTGTATGGTATCAATTGCCATGTTTTGGGTCCCGCTGTCAAAGGTAAATTCGTCAGGGTTCGCGCTGACGGGGTGACTCTGACCCGCCACTCCAGGTATGTTCTTGATGGCATTTGAGTTGAGAAACACTGATCCAGCGCATGCAGAATGAAAGTCTCCGACCATCATATAAAAGGCAGCGGAAAAAACGAATGGCAGGATAATTGTCATTGTAGAAGTGGTTGTTGTATGTGGAAATGGTTCCAATTCCAAGATGCAATAGTAGCCTAGCGATCGAAGGCAGGTAGGAGCGCACTAGTAAAGCGGAGTAGGCTACCTCTGTAATCCGATGATTCCTGATGTGCGATTTATACATGTGGAGTTGTTTGCATTCCCGCCCCCAACTATGTGTAACAAAGGAGTGGATGAAATTTCAAAGGGTTCAGCTCATGACGCATCCCGCAGCAAGTAGGCTGCCCACCCATTGGCCGGGAATCCTAATCCAAAACGTCTCGCAATGTTTGTGTACAATTATCAATGACTCTTCACGGGATGACATCAAACAGACACCGACACATTCTTCTCTTAGACACGTTACCAGCATTTCAAGCAAGATAATATGAATAGGTATATCACCTAGATGCAGCTACAATGTATGAACGTTTTACTCATAATTTGTGGCGCATTATCAACATTTGTCAACATTTATTGAGAAATGAGCAGCCTCTTTTATCCCAGAAAGGTGCCACTTGTTGTACTTCGAATCAATATTTCGATATGAAGAAAATATTAACGGGGGCTACATTGTGTATGGTACATCGTTTTTCGTTGTAATGCTACTGTTTATAAATCGTTTATAACTTTATAACTATAGTTTCGCTGACCACAGACGACCCATGGGGTGATCATTCAAGACATTTTCTCCCCATTAACAGCATTTGATCGGTAATTGTAACGAGAGAACTTTGAAATGCACTTGATTAAACAAGGCGGTGAAAATCAAAGGGAAATATGCAAATCTCGGAGAGTGAAAAGTTTACCGAATTAATTACTATTCAGGCTAACTGCTTAAAAATAAAAATGGGTTGATGATTAGCACCCCACGATAAGGAATTCACATCGGTCTCTCTGAACCTTAATCTGTAGCCTGTAAAACAATTAGACACACAAGTATTCCCTTCCCCTCAGATAAAGCTATCAGCCTAACCTCTAAAGCACCTCTTGTGTTGATGTAGTCTATTGTGCCAATTTCAACGTTACTGAGAATGTAGTGGCAAAGGCCTGCTAACCAATAGGTCTATGACTGCTATTTGACAATTAAAAGTTTAAATTATTGTAATAATTCTACAGAGAATTCTAGCTGTTGCTTAATATCAGGTTATGAAAGACAGTCTGTCTGGTTGGGAAAAAATGTTGGCTCTTAAATCAGGAATAGTGGTTTAGAAAAAGGTATATAAAAAAGGTTAGCCTATAAAATAGAAAAACGTATTTGCAAAAGCCCAAAACATCTAATTTGAGAAGTTTAAAAAGGGGAAAATGAACAAAATCTTTAAAAGACTATAGGGACTTGCATCATGACTGAATAAAATACTAAAAAATAAAAAAGTTATATTTTAAAGTGATTAAAATATTTTCCAAATCTGAACCAAAGCCTAAATAACTGAACCAGCTCCTTGAGAGAAGTATGCAGGAACAAAATACGATTTAACAGTTTCAAAGTGCATGTCTGCCAAATACTTTGGGAAAGCCTCCCTAATAAAGCGCTTTGATGTTGTTTACAGAGGTTAGTTAGGCTATACACTTCATTAAACGTGAATTGGCCGCCTTCATCCAATTCTTTGGTCGGTAGGCTTTGTTTTAATTGTACATCCAAAGCCTACAGTGGTGTAAAATGAAGCTTGTGTAAAGGCCCCTTTGATGGGGACAGATCAAACAGCCCTGAACCCCCATGTCTTAATCAGACTCCGGCAGCCATGGCGTTTTTACAAACAGTCCGTTTGCTCGGCTTTTAGCGGGTTTTACCAGACATTGTACTCAGCCAATTCATTTGGTTGGACGCCAGGTAATCCTGTTTTGAAATGCCTGGTTGCGGCCTAATCCATTCATCCTACAATAGACCCTCACTAGTTAGCCCATGTCCCTAAAGTGTTAAATAAACATACAATCAGTTTGTGTTAGATTGAAATAATAAAGGGGCAGACGATTTACTTTATAGTTTAGCAAGATAATAAAGCTATCTATCGCCTGGAGGGTCAGGTGTTCTGAAAGCTCCCTCCCGTGGTGAGAAAGAGTGACTATCAAAGGAAGTAATAACAGTTTATTTAACATGTAATTCGCTCAAATGAGCTGCCTTGTAGTTACAGGCCCAGTACAAAAGACCAGTAAAGATCAGGGAGTAGCCAGAGAACAGCTTCACCAAATAAAAAAAGCAGCATCTCCGTTCATATTGATTGAAAGTTAAATTTTATTGTAAGAAAAAAGGCATATAAATAGCTGGACCATAAAAAAGCAGCAAGCCAAATAATGAAGACAGTTTAAGTTTGACAATTGTCATGCAGCATTAAAACAAATATTGAAGATATATTTTGGATGCCATCGAGTTAAGGCACTTTCAATAATGCCACAAAGCCATGTAATGATGCTCAGTACTGCGGTGTGCGACTTCACAGTCATTCAGTGAATGATGGCGATAACATTAAAATAATTCAAGCTTGAGGAAATATGTCACAGTATTTCATTTGACAAAACATTCATACACAAATATTCAAATTAAATAATGACGTTCATAAGTTTAGCCTACTCATACACATATCACAAAAATATCAGCACTACATATTTATGTACACAAATATTTACTTCTGGTCCTACAATAAATAATATTCATAGTGTTTTCAAGGGCAGTATAAACATTTTAAATTATGATAATGTATTTGAGGCCTGTAGAATGGCAGCTATCTTGCCTTTCATTTAGAAATGATAATGTTCTAAGGTCCATGTTAATGGGAAATTAATCATATGAATAGTAGAATAATCTGTATATGACAGACTGACTGTATTTAGCCATGTATCAAAGTCCACTTGCTATCTCCCATTTAAATTCCCAGTGTTTGACATCACCTCCTGTGTCCCTATGGTAAGCCTGTTTTTGTATCAGTCCCAGATTGCCCTCTAGTGGCAAACAATGTTCTTGTCTGTTTCCCCACTCGATGGCTCAATCACCCCTTTACTTAATAAAGAACTAAATGGTAATACATTGAAAGTCAAATATGTCCTTGCAATTCAATTTGGTAAAATATATTTTCTTAACACTGTAGGGCTTTGAAAAAGATCTGAATGGCGAAGGGAAGGCCAAAGTAGTTTTTATCAATCAAACAACTTTGCTATAAATGGTGTAATTACACATGTTCAATTGTGTGTATGCTTGTGTGCGTTTTCGAACGGAACACAGTACGCATTATATACAATATATAATATTTATGTGCTGTAATTATTAGTGTAATATTAAAAATGTATAATATGATACAAAGGAACTTGTAAAAAATAACATTTTAATTATTGATGACAAGCGTTTAAAAGAGTGTCAACCCACCCCCTGTTGGAATCGTGGTCCTCAAGACGCTACAACAGAGAGCTGGAATCTCCCTCTCAGACCCACTCCACTCAGTATCACAAGTAATCACTGAAAACACTGGTGAGCGCTAACAGCCACAAACCCAATACATAAACCTAAATATACAAATGTGTGACAAAAAAGAAACTCTCCATGAGGGGATCCAATAGAGGCATGGTTGATGGTGATGTAGAGAGACTGAAGGTGACTTCTGTCAGCTAAACCGTTAGTCCCAATGTCACCTCGGAGGAGAGTGGAGCAACATCGGCGAAGGCATCTCGGTGACCCAGAGCGGTACGACTGCCCCCTTCACTGTCACAGTCTGTTCACAGCGTCATCAACTGTCTGTCTGTGCTCTGCAGCCAGACCCTTGAAGCGCTTCCCCAGGAAACCCAGAGAGGCTACAACAGATGGAGCGTGCCGTTAAAAATCTGTGTCCCAGCCAGACATGTCATCTGGAGGAGGGTCATCGTTGTCCTCTGGGAAACTGTCAAAGTTGCTTGTGTCAGTTGACGACGATACCTGATAGAGAAGAGGAGGAGGGGCTGGATTAATGGTTGTCATGCTTTAATAAAGAAAATCATGCCTACACTGGCATGCTCTTTAGATGTGTCAGTTTCACTTTAAAATGATGCATATTTTTACTTACATCAGGGATGATTGGAGGAGTCAGGGTTCCTTTCCTCAACCCTTCCCAGTTAAAGCCTTCAAACCATCTGCGATTCAAACAGAAAAAAACAGTTATCTTAGCTGTTGTTTTTTTTTGTCTACAGTGCAATCATGGCCATTAGCTTACTTGACTTACTTGTGCTTTTGGATATCTTTGACTCCGTTTTTCAAGTTTCCAAGTCTTTCCGAAGGATTGTCCCTGCATAGTTTCTTTATCAAATTGGCAGCATTTTTGGTGATCTTCTTTGGAAATTCAATCATGTCAATTCCTCTCAGGATGATATTGTATGTCTTCATTGGATCTGGCCCTGAGAATGGCGGGCTGAAAAAGAAACAAGAGCATTCATTTAAAACAATTAGGTGGTCCTTTAACCCTACATCTACATGTGTATGGGGTTACAGATATGGGAGACAGTGTAGGCATTCCTTCTGATCCCAGGCACTTATTCTATAGGAGATATACAATAAGAGAACCTATGGACAGCCATATCCACAACCGTCCTCCTTACCTTCCAGTCAGGAGTTCGTACATGAGGATCCCCAACGACCAGTAGTCAGCGGAGATGTCGTGCCCCTTGTTCAGGATGATCTCAGGTGCCACGTACTCCGGGGTCCCGCAGAAAGTCCATGTCTTCTTCCCAAACCCAATCTTCTTGGCAAAGCCAAAGTCCACCTGTGAAAAGACAGAAGAGCCAATGAGATCCATTGAATGGACACCCTTTCCAGCAGGTCCTTTGGGTCTTGAGCCATGTTCTTATACTGCAGGTGTGGAGGTGTCCTCAGGACTTTGTGGCTCTGTCCACTCACCAGCTTGGCATAGCCTCTGTGATCCAGGATGAGGTTCTCTGGTTTGAGATCTCTGTAGATGATCCCTTTGGAATGCAGGTAAGCGAAGGCCTCCACCACACAGGCTGTGTAGAACCGCGTGGTTGAGTCTTCAAATGAACCTCTGCAATGATGAAGACAGTATTATTATTACATTTTTGTATGATTTTTTTTTACCCCCTTTTCTCCCCAATTTTGTGATATCCAATTGGTAGTTACAGTCTTGTCCCATCGCTGCAACTCCCGTACGGACTCGGGAGAGGCGACGGTCGAGAGCCATGCGTCCTCCGAAACAAGACCCTGCTCGCTGAACCCGGAAGCCAGCAGCACCAATGTGTCGGAGGAAACACCGTACAACTGGCGACCGTGTCAACGTGCATGCGCCCGGCCCGCCACAGGAGTCGCTAGAGCACGATGGGACAAGGACATCCCGGCCGGCCAAACCCTCCCCTAATCTGGATGATGCTGGGCCAATTGTGCATCGCCTCATGGGTCTCCCGGTCGCAGCCGGCTGTGACACAGCCCGGGATTGAACCCGGATCTGTAGTGACGCCTCAAGCACTGCAGTGCCTTAGACCGCTGCGCCTCTCGGGAGGCCGAAGACAGTATTCATACATGTTAAAATGATGAAGCCAGGGGAAATTAAGGCAACATGGTGTCATTTGAAACTGAGTTGGTTGAGTTGCATTTTCCATACCTGTCCCTAAGTATGGTCCAGAGCTCTCCCCCAAGGCAAGCCTCCATCAGCATGTAGAGATACTTGGCATCTTTGAATGTCCTATATAGCCTGAAACACATAAAGAACATGTAAAAAAAAAACATGTAAACTGTAAATTGTATCCTTTTCTTGAGGATAATGAAGCAGTCTATCGGTAAAGATATCAGGAGAGATACCTGGTTGAGATATCGCAACCTCTCTACATCTAGCTAGTATCTGACTGTATCTATAGTGACCTGACGATGAAGTCCGAGTGGGCCTCCTGCATGATCTGCTTCTCGGAGCGGATATGCTCCTGTTGCCGCGTGTCTACGATGTGCCTCTTCTTCAGGATCTTCATCGCAAACGTTTTGATCTCATCGCTTTTGAGCTGCACCTGTAGAAGGACACAGACGATGCAAGATATTGAGCATCTCAAGGTTAACGATCCTACTAAAAGCGAATTCAACAACATCTGAGTTGTAAACAGGTCCTGGCTGTGAAGATCAAGTCTTAGTTCAGCCATTTTAACAGTTGTTCTATATGGGCCCTGTAATAGCAGATGCGTCATGGGTCTATTCGTGACTACGGACTACCTGGAAATAGTTTGACTGGGAACAGGCATTCTTCACATTACGTATCTCAGGGAGCACCTACATGTCTGGGGTCATTCAATCCCAGGGCTGTCAATCCCCGGGCTGTCATTCAATCCCAGGGCAGTGAACACGATGCCTCGGGGCAGGAGAAAGGCCACGTGTTTTTACTGAGGTTGCCGCAGTGCCGAAAATAGGGCAGGGCAGGGGATTTCTCTTTAGGAAAAGCTGGGCTTTTCCTTTGCCTCAACTCTCTGAGACCCCGCTGGCCCAAATTGCGCCATGCTAGCACTCACTTGATCTCCCCCTCTTTTGCTCTTTCCCTCTCAACTTTTCTCTATCTGTTTACATGCTTTCATGTGTATTATGTGTCAGCTGTTTAAGTGTATATAAATTTTTACTGACAAAATGATGATTGTGCATTCAAAATATATTCATATTCATTCAAAATATACTTTCTGTGTGTGTTTTGTGTGTAATTATAAACTGGGTGGTTCGAGCCCTGATTGCTGATTGGCTGAAAGCCGTGGTATATTGGCCATATGCCACACCTCCTCGGCCCTTATTGCTTAATTATAAATGTTACAACTAGACATAATTGATGTCTTGGCCTACATTTGGTGGTAGTAAACTTCACACGTTTATTAGGCCTATACTACATATTCAATCAGACTAAAGTTAGAACTCATATGATATGTGACACTGTGGGTTACGCGGGTTGATGTTTATTGGGATGAATCTTGTTCTGGAGGCAGAGCTGAGCGATTTCACTAATGGCCCAGCTGCAATGTCAAAATTGTCTATATCGTAAAAATGCATGAAAATTAGCTTTTTGGTCTTAATTTAAGGTTAGGGTTAGGTATAAGGTTAGCAGTGTGGTTAAGGTTACGGTTAGAGTTAGGTTTAAAATCACATTTTATGACATTGAGGATGTGCCAGCTAGTGACTACCCGGCAGAGCTGCCTCCAGTCCATGAGTCATCCCAATAAATGCCAACCTGCGTGGGTCACATGGCAGGGCTCCATTACCTCTTCTGCCCTTACAGTGGAAAGTTACTTCGAATAGCCCAGAGACATTCTGGGCCTGAGCTGGCTGAGACTGCTCCATTACAGAACAAGAAGACGCACTGGTCTTTCCTATCCTATCTGATGTCACTCAATTACGTTCAACATCTCTCTTTATTCCCTGCCAATGGTTTAAATTGGAATAGGACATGTGTCTCAAGCAGGTCTGGAAATGTAGAGCTCCACAAATCAGCTCTTCGATAGATTCAACAAGGTGTCTGCACTGAATGACCTTCCCTTGAAATGAAATCATTCGCAGTAATCGTGTTCGCCCTTGAGAACTTCCTAGCAGTTTTACCACCATGGAAAAAGTAACATTATCATCCATGAGCAACCGTGTCTATTCAGTCTACCCAGTTGATACAGTATGACAAGACATTGGGATTGGGAGTGTAACAGAGAGAAGAAGGAGAGAGAGAGAGCGAGAGAGAGAGAGAGAGAGAGAGAGAGACATTATAGACATACAGTACATACTTTATTTAAACATCCTACCAGATCCACGCGTCCGAAACCTCCGACCCCCAGCGTGTCAATGATGTTGAAGTCCACCAGCTTCAGGTTACAGAAGAAGGCGTTCTCCGCTTCGTATCTGAATTTTTTGAAGTGGAAAAAGGGAAACTTCTTAGAAGTCTGGATTGAGTAGGAGGTGATAGGGAATGACCGTGGCGGGGATGGAACCGGGAAACTGTTCTGACGCTCCCTCTCTTTCCACACTGGGATAGGTATCATCAACTCACGCATCCTGTCCTAACTTTGGTCCGACCAAGTAAAGTACTGAAAAACAATCAATTGGACCCCTCTGACAAAAAGTCAATAATATGGTCAATAGAAAGAAATGATCTGCCTTGCAGGACAAAGTTGTTGATATGTTGCTTCACGAACACATTCTACACAGCATCTGTAAGAGTTATTTCTCGAAAGTGGAGTCAAGGCGCCGTTTCCAGTTCACATTTCGAGGGTTCGAATATAGCTTTATCTGTGTGTGGAAGATTGGAGGATTGGCCAGATCTTCAGATTCTGTCTGCATGTATCTCAGTCTGTTTAGGCTTCCTCAGAGTCCTCTCTCTGGGTGTTGAGTTCAGAGTCCAACAATTACAACCCTCAAGGTAGACATCCTTACTTTGAAGAAACAACCAGGAGTATTGCAAACAAAACAAAGGAAATAAACAGACATAGACTTCTGGTAGAGGTATCCCTCTAAAAGTTCAATCAAAGAAAGTTCAATCCAACACTGAAAAAACGTGTGCTCTGCAGACGGGCAATGAACTTTACAGTACGTCTTCTTAGACTACAAGGTAAGAAGAGACTAAAGCCTTGAAACCAGACTGCAGGACAGCGAGCGACTAAGGTGTGTGTTCGTGTCAAAACAAAAAGCCAAATGTTCTCAGCTCCAAGGACCAGTGATGGCTAATACTGCCTGGCTGATCCCACTGGTATTTTTAGCATGTGGACATTGCTTGAGGTCCACCCAGTTACCATAGCTCTCACATCTTTGCCCTGCTGCCAAACTGCACTTCCATCATCTGCAAGACCTTACACCTCACTGATAACCATCAGCTGCCGATCACATCTCCATAGAAAACCATTATGGACAGGATTTGGTCCTTCACAGAGCTGAAGTGGAGAGTCATTTTCCTGATTTCCTGATCAGTTTGAACCAACTTGGTTGTTAACTACAATCATGAAGGATGGTCTTCAATTCAGCTAATTGGTGAATGAGTGAATAATACATTATTCACTCCTACACTCTTAGTAATAAAAGGTGCTATCTAGAACCTAAAATTGTTATTTGGCTGTCCCCATAGGAGTTCCATTTGAAGAACCCTATTTGGTTCCAGGTAGAACCCTTTTGGTTCCAGGTAGAACCCTTTTGGGTTCCATGTAGAACCCTTTCCACAGAGGGTTCTACATGGAACCCAAAAGGGTTCTACCTGGAACCAAAAGAGTTCTACCTGGAACTCCTATGGGGACAGCTGAAGAACCCTTTTGGAACCCTTTTTTTCTAAGAGTGTATAATAATCTTGTGTGACTGTATGGAAAATCTACCAGATATACAGGCCTCAAAGCAGGCCTGAAAATATCCTGTGAACAAGGGCTATCAGGTTGTTTCCCTGTAGTGGACAGACATCTGAGCTCCTGAGTGATCCCCAGGATCTGTTGGGAATGTGACTAAGTGTCGGCTTCAACTGTCCCATTTTATGCTGGGAATTATCTCCCATCTTCAATGTGAGTTTGAAGTGAACAAAACAGGGAGCACCCATGTCGTTTTAGTAGTATAACCTCATCACATCACACCACTGTATCACATATCACCCCACTGTATCACACTCTGCTGGTGGGAAGTGAGTCCCCAGGGACAGGGGAAGAGGGGAGTCGCTATTGGCTACTAGCCATGTCTGTCCCCTTTGCACTCTCTGGCAGTGCGTAGAACCTGACACCAGCCAATTAGAGAGGAACATGATGGGGGACTGTGAGGGGGAAAACGACTGCATCGAGGGACGAATCACACCATCCACACACCAACACTTCAACCTGGGTTGGCCCTCATCCTACACACAACAAGTACCACTGGCTTTTTATGAGCTATTGGAATCAGAAATGGAAAAAGTATTGCATCTCAACACGGGTTGGGTGCCTTGCAAGATGTAAGCCTTTACTGAGGCCAATGTAATGTTACCAAACACACGTCGGCTGACCGCTCATCGGACTGGTGACCCACTATTGAACTACGCATTATGCTGAACAATAGGTTCAGGGTTTATACAGTTGAAGTCGGAAGTTTACATACACCTTAGCCAAATACATTTAAACTCAGTTTTTCACAATTCCTGACATTTAATCTTTGTAAACATTCCCTGTTTTAGGTCAGTTAGGATCACTACTTTATTTTAAGTTTGTGAAATGTCAGAATAAGAGTAGAGAGAATCATTTCTTTCAGCTTTTATTTCTTTCATCACATTCCCAGTGGGTCAAAAGTTTACATTCACTCAATTAGTATTTGGTAGCATTGCCTTTAAATTGTTTAACTTGGGTCAAACATTTCGGGTAGCCTTCCACAAGCTTCCCACAATAAGTTGGGTGAATTTTGGCCCATTCCTCCTGACAGAGCTGGTGTAACTGAATCAGGTTTGTAGGCCTCCTTGCTCGCACACGCTTTTTCAATTCTGCCCACACATTTTCTATATGATTGAGGTCAGGGCTTTGTGATGGCCACTCCAATACCTTGACTTTATTGTCCTTAAGCCATTTTGCCACAACTTTGGAAGTATGCTTGGGGTCATTGTCCATTTGGAAGACCCATTTGCAACCAAGGTTTAACTTCCTGACTGATGTCTTGAGATGTTGCTTCAATATATCCACATAATTTTCCTTCCTCATGATGCCACCTATTTTGTGAAGTGCACCAGTCCCTCCTGCAGCAAAGCACCCCCACAGCATGATGCTGCCACCCCCATGCTTCACGGTTGGGATGGTGTTCTTCGGCTGGCAAGCAACCCCCTTTTTCCTCCAAACATAACGATGGTCATTATGGCCAAACAGTTATATTTTTGTTTCATCAGACCAGAGGACATTTCTCCAAAAAGTACGATCTTTGTCCCCATGTGCAGTTGCAAACCGTAGTCTGGCTTTTTTATGGTGGTTTTGGAGCAGTGGTTTCTTCCTTGCTGAGCGGCCTTTCAGGTTAGGTCGATATAGGACTCGTTTTACTGTGGATATAGATACTTTTGTACCTGTTTCCTCCAGCATCTTCACAAGGCCCTTTGCTGTTGTTCTGGGATTGATTTGCACTTTTCGCACCAAAGTACGTTCATCTCTAGGAGACAGAACGCATCTCCTTCCTGAGCGGTATGACGGCTGTGTGGTCCCATGGTGTTTATACTTGCGTACTCTTGCTTGTACAGATGAACGTGGTACCTTCAGGCGTTTGGAAATTGCTCCCAAGGATGAACCAGACTTGTGGGGGTCTACAATTTCTTTTCTGAGGACTTGGCTGATTTCTTTTGATTTTCCCATGATGTCAAGCAAAGAGGCACTGAGTTTGAAGGTA